TAGTACAGTAGTAGTAGCAGTAGCAGCAGCAGCAGCAGCAGTAGGTGTAGTGAGCTCGGTCAACAATGCAAGGGAGTCCTGCACAAAAGGGTCTCCGATACAACACATCGGGCGCTTGGAGGTGTCGCTGAGCCACTTCTGAGCCGTGTCTACGTCCATGAGCCCGACACCGAGGAGCTGTGTTCTGACCTTTTCTGTGGGCAGGCACAGACGCCTCCAAGCATCACAAAGAGCCGGGAACACATGTGGAAGTATGTCAGCAAAAGTCACCTGGCAAACTGCCAAGAGCTCGGTGCCAGGGGGAGCAGTCAACAGCGTGGTGTAATCACGGATGGTCTCTGCGGCCCTCTGCCCATTAAACAACGACCAGTTCATCTCTCTCAGCTCCTGCTCCGTAATCTTGCATGTGCTGGAGGCCAATTCCAAGGAGCGAGATTTCAAGTATAGCCGCAAACGACATGACTCAACCTGAGATATAAAGTCCATGAGCTCGGCTAAGGGCCATGACACGAACAAGGACTTGCCCAGATCAGCCTTAGCTAGACAACAAGTCAACTACCAGGGCACACCAAAGGCGCACGCTACCAGTGCACTGTAAAATTTAAGCAGCAGACAAGCAACTTTGACTGAGTCCGCAGTGATAAAGGCAACCGTTTTGCCCATCCGTACCTCCTGCTTGACTGCATGGGACAGGTCTGGAGAATCCTCGTCCAAGTTGGCCGTAATCTGGTCCAGGGCTTTGCCGTAACACCCTGTGATCAGAAAAGCCAGGAAGTTATGAATGAAGATCCCACGCGTAACGTAATTCTGAACCGGTCCCCAGCCCTTCCAGCGGTAGAGTAGCGGAACCTGTGGAAAAGCCTGGAAAAGCAACCTCAGTGCCTCCCTTGTCCGGTCTATGCATGCCAGACGGTTTGGACAACATCCACAGCACCAATGTACCCATTGTCCATTCCCCCGCTCTGCGAAATCATCATCCCAGGATGAATTAAACATCGTCAGAATCAGCTCCTTCTCCTCGGACTTTAAATCTAGCCCTAGAATATCGAGCAAAGAGCGGTGGCTGTCTTGCAAAGCAGCGACTGAAGCAGGCAACACTCCGACGAGGCGTCTATCCATATTCTGAGCGATCTTCTCAAGACCCTCTTGAAATAAGCTCTGGAACTTAGTCGCGCGCATAGCTCGTGTCATACGAACCATAGCTGAGCACAGGTTCGGTATACTGAGCAGGCCAGGCTTTAGAGCTAAAGCAGCTTGATGGTGCAAGCAGTTCAGCTCTGTTTGCAGTGTAGTTGCTGCATTCCTATCACCAGCCAAGCGCTTCTCGTGCCATTCGATGTGTTCAGCGGCCTGTACAACGTGATTCGCGGGAAGAGCATCTCCACCTCAGTGGCATGTCCGGAACAGCACTGCGGTGAAGATAGTCGGCATTGCTACTACATATCGACTGAGGATCCTACAATGGACAATGAGCTTCAAAGGAACAGTGGCGAACAGGTCCCATAAACCCCGGCCCCCATACGGCTCGGCGCAACCGATCGAAGCATAAAGGCTCCATCGCCGAAGGCGATCGAGTATGGTGAAGGAATTCGCCCGAGGCAACAATTGACATGGAGCATGCACTTGAGCAATGGTACCCACACCGTCTGGCTCCCCATCGGTTCTGATGATCAAGTGCTGCAATAATCCAAGCAACGATTGCACACGCTTCATGCCCTTCACAGGCTTGGTCTCAGAACAAACACCTTCGGAAAAGTGTCGCTTCTGAGAGGCATTATTCACCCAAACGTTCGTATCATCCGACACCACAGTCACCTTAGCTGCTGACAGCTTATCAACTCGCTTCACAATTTCACGTCACAACATGGAAGTCTGCAAAACAAAGCAGCAATCAGAAGCTGCAATCAAAATGCACTGCGGGAAACTATGGCATGCTTCGGGGAACGCGAACCTTTTAGCAGTCTCTCCAGAGCTGCACCAGTCGCCGCCATGTGACTACAAATACCAATGTTCTGTTGCCTGGACATGGATCGCTGCGCGTCACTTGCATAATCAAATCCGCCCACATCACCGCCTGGATCACTATACAGAACAAGGTTCTGGGAGATGTGCACACCGCCCTTCACGGCAGATTTTGCAAATTCACCGAACACATTCCTAACCAAGTTCAACTTGTCATCATCGCGCGCGTAGTTCAGCACCGATAATTGTTTCACTTGTCGTTTATGCAAACCCAACTGCACAAACGCACTGTGAGCTGAGCCAGACGATCTGGCACGAGGAATCGGCACATCTTGATTTTCCTTGGTTGAGAAATCATCAAACAATCTTCGGATTCCATACGACCCGTACATGCATTCCCTGCAAAGCCACGACACTGCATTCTGTTGCTGCTGCTGTCTAGATATGCCGGCAGAGCGGATGGCATTGCATGACTTCCGCATGAAGACCGAAGCAAACAAGGCCATGGCTGCAGACTTGCGAACCTCTTGAAAAGATTGCCGAAATGTCAAAACAAACTGCGTGCATCAGTGACCCATGCTGCATAGCACTATTCTCTTGCTCTTGGTGCTGATCACAACTTCACGGCTCGCTCTAGAGACGGAGCAGCTGTAGAGCAGCAACTGAGAGCGCCAACATCACCACAAGCACGTAACCCTGAGACAGACACGATGTGCCTTGAAGGTGGCATCCTCCGGGCAGTTTGCAGCTTGTCGAAGGCATCCAGCAACATTCTCCAAAATGAAGAACCTGCCACGGTTTGCATCGCTAAGATTTGTTTTAAGCTCGGGCACAGCTGCCTCGGACGTCTCCGGCGAATGTGCCTCGAGCACTCGAGGAATGGGACCACATTCGTGGCCTCGGTTATCAGAGGCTTTCACGAGGAATCTAACAATCTGGACAAGTCTGGATATGCTGATTCACGCAAATCACCCTGCAAAATTGCATACCTCGCATAATGCGAGCTCAGATACGTGAGGCCCTGCTTCATCAAACATACTCTCCACAGAGCTGTGCGTAAAGCGCAGGTTGGAGTCCTGTCTCCGGACGAATGAAACTCTCAGCTATTCTGACCCTTCAGCCCAAACCAGTTCTGTTCGGTCCTGGGAAAACAACTTACAAGCAAATCCGCAGACGTAGAGGTCCTCCTTCACGAAGTCCTTCAGCTTTCAGTCTAATTAAGCTTACGATAAAATCGAACACGGCAGCCTGTTTCACCCCAATGCAGAGAAGTGGCAGGATGAACGACGGGTGGGAGTGGAGGCTTTCCAGTCTCACCCAGCCTACATCAGCCGACGCATGCGAGCTTGCATATCCTTGCTAGGTTAACTCAATAATCAAACTGTTTGATCAAGCCTGGCTCCACGCATATCATAGTAAATGATATCCGGCGAAGTATTCTGCGCCAGCCACTTGCGCGTCGCAACCTCAGCTGTGCAAATATGGTATACTGCAACTGCCGATGGCTTTCCGATCGAGCATTTACACATCGTAAATTGACTCGTAGTTGCATTCTTCTCAGAGGCAGCAATCTCACCAAAATTATTCTCTCCCACAATCTCCCTCAGAGCCAATGTCGGGGCTCCAGTCCCCGAGCACGCTGTGCACAGAACCTGAGGGACTCATATGCATGATATTATGATATCCGATATGATGTGATGTGTCGGTGCTGCGCTTCGCATATGTCATGACTGGAATTCAGCAAGGTGCCAAGGGATCTTGAAGCTGCTGCTTGAAAATCTCTTTCGAGGTCCCTGCCGAACCGGTACCGAGCTGTAGCCACTCAAACGCTCGCGGTGGCACCAGCATCGAGCTGTAGGAACGAGACCTATGGTTGGAACTTGGGGTCCTAAAACGAACGGTTGAGGGTTTAGGGTTTAGTTATCCATGCGAGTATTCCATCCGAATGGCCTGCTTCGGTCGCTGCTGGCGTCGATGTCCACAGCATCTTGTCGTGTCACGGGGCAGTACAGGCCGCTGAAAGCCGCCATCGCTACTGCCCTAAGCCTACCAACGAAAGAAGCAAGTCCCTCAAAAGGCAGCTTTCAGCAGCGGTCACCACAGACGCATTCAGAGTCTCTTCAGAAGCCAAATCAACACCTCAATCACGCCACACCTTTTGCCACCCTCTTAAACCCTGATTTCGATCAGGTTGGCCCAGATTTCAAGAATCTAGTGTTAACATTACCACGCCGACTGCAATATATATATATATGTATATATATATATATGGTGCAGCGTCGCTCTCCCCCCACCCCCTCCCCCCCAGGGTTACCCCCTGCCGCCGGCCCTACTATGCTTCCTCCCCCCCCCCACTCCCGGTGGTGTGGGTGGTGGGGTTGTTTATGTGGGTTGTTTAACCCCCCTCATCCCCCTGCGGTGTGGTGGTGGGTTTGGGATTATTTAACCCCCCCCCCCTCCTCTTCAGGTTTAGTGTTTAATCCCTTTCTCCCCTCCCTGTGATATGGTGGTGGGTGTTGGGTTTAGGGCTTAGGATTTGCACCCCGCCCCCACTGTGGTGTGGGTGGTGGGGTTGTTT